CCTTGAAGGGGAAGCAGGGAAGAGGGAGCAAACATGAGGTTTATTCCAGAAGTAGAATTGGTGGGAGACGATGAGAACTGGAGGAGAGAGAAGCGTCAGGTGTCTCTGCATGGGTAACAGACCCAGGTAGGGGAGGTGGCGGGCGAGCATTTCCACGTGCTGAGTTTGAGAGGCCTGGAGGACAGGACGTCTGGATAGCAGTGTTTAGCCAGCAGGTGGAAATGGAAATGTGAACGCAGGAGAGAGAAGTGGTGGTCTGGGAAACAAGGGATCCACCTGTGAAAATATTTCCTTAAATACTTTAAAAATAAAGGGTTTGAAAAGCTAAGGGTGAATGCCACCCAATTATAAATCCAAAATTTAAAATCACTCAGTTGTTACATGGCAGGAGATATTCATTAGAAGCCTTATTTAAAAGTCATTAAAATTCTATGGCATTCCAGGTACGAGGGCTCTATACAGCTAATATCAGATTACGGTCTAAAGAGCATTTGTTATGTGATTAGCACACATGGGCTCCATTTGGGCAAACCTGAGTTAAAGAGCTAAGAACAGAAAAATTATAATGCCATGGGTTATCGGTGAGGTTATGTGAATAATTAGATGCTGAACATTGGCTAAATCCTGTCATACAAAGCTATGGACTTCAGAATGAGTGTTTTGCTTGCCCACAAAGCAAGCAAAGAAATGGAGAAAACAATAAACTGTGAAAATGCTAAAAGGGTACTATCTTTTCATGGTCCATGGGATAGTAGCTGAAGGCCAAATAACTAGGCTTTTCCATGCACAGGGTTGGGAAAGGCTGAAATTCTCTATTAAATTATGGAGGGAGGCAGTTGCACACAGAGATGACTTCTCTAGGCCTTTATTTAAGGAGTCCCCTGAGCTCAAGTAAAGACCAAGCAAATGCAAAGAGATTCAGGAAGGCAGCTAGGACAGGAACTAGAGAGAGAAATGATTTCACTTGTTGGTGCCACAGTGGCCTGAAGTTAGTTAGTTCATTCATGTATCTATGAACTTTTCTGTATAATATTGAAAAGGGAATATGAAAAGAGAAAGAAAACAAGTAGGAATCAATGAAAAAAATATATAAAGTGAACAGGTGCAAGAGAGAATAGTTAAGGTTAAAACAATGAGATATTTCTGAATGTCCTGGCTATACTTCAAGTAAGAAGAAGTAAGGGGGTACTCCAGACTAATGCATTTTATTTTTCTTTTCTGCTTAGAAAGATCAGAGAGAATAATGAGGAAGATCATTCTCTTCCAAGAGCATGCTAATTTATTTTCATTTACCTCATCTAGCAGTGCTATTTTTCTACTTGAGACAATTAACAGCCATTGCTTAGGAAGTCATGCAATTGTATCAACAACCATATCAGGCAGGATTATATTCAGATATTGTTAATAGAACAACAATCCAGGCTCAGCAGTCAGTTTTCCCAGGAATGGCTTGGCTGCTGTTTTTTTGCAGGAGGCCAAAGCTTACATCAGTCATAGATTAGAATTGCATTTGCACGCACTGGGCTCTAAAGAAATACAGAGAGAGCAATATGACTTTGCTATAGCATAGTTCTTCTGTCGATTCTTTATTTTTATCTTGTTCAATTGTTACCTTAAGTACAGTTGCTTGAAGTTTTTCATAAATGGTCTCTTGAGGTAATTGTATTAATGATTGTTTGAAATTTGAACATTGCAACTATTTCCAAATGTAGCAATAGATGAAGCCTCTGGTGGATATGGGAATGCATATAGGAACATTCCCGAAAACAGAAATATCATGTGAAATTCTGTATTTCTCATGCAATGGAGACTTTTGACCTGGAAGACTTTCCTATAATAGACCCTAGGGATCCTAGATGAGGTCATGATTTGAACTGAGTACTTTATAAAGAACTATTTTTCTAAAAGAAGAGAACTTCAACTCATTCTTTTCATATATACGATATAAACAAAAACATGGTGTATAATAATGGAGATTATATACACTTAATATTATTGAGTTATAACTTACATGGAATATCACCAACTTTATGAGTATATTTGCATAAATTTTGGCTCCTACATTTAAATCTGTGAGCAACTTTGAATTATCTTTTGTTGGTGGTAAGAGACTGAAGGCTCCATTTCTTGCATATGGCTATCTAATTGCTCCAGCAAAAGTTGTTGAAAGGATAATCTTTTCCATATTAAATTACTCTGAGGGTTTTGCTAAAAATTCATCAGCCATCTATACATAGGTCTATCTCTGGACTTGCTATTCTGTTCTGTTGAATTGTAGTCTACCCTTCTGTTAATAGTGCACTGTCTACATACTTACTGTAGCTTTACCTTAAGTCTTTAAACGAGGTGGTGCAAATCCTCTGACTTTATTCTTTTTCAAAGTTGTTTGGATGGTTCTAGGTTGTGTTCCTTTCCAAAAGATGGGCTTTTGAATTTCTATATCTGCTTGTATTGTTACTAGGTTTGTATAGACTCTACAGAAAAATTTGGGAAGAATTTACTTCTTAACAATACAGTGTCTTCTAGTTAAAAAACATGGTATTGGTGCCCACTTGTTTAGGTCGGCTTTAATTTTGTAATGTTGTGCATTGCAGTGCACAGATCTTGCACACATTTGGTTGAAATTATCCTTAAGAACCCCTTTTAGATGGCTTAGTAAATTATATCTACAAAATAATAAGTGCCGCCGGTGAAAATGAATCTTTTTCTCTATTCTCTCCAGTGTGAGAGAACACGCACATGAATATTTATTAGTGCATTATAGCTATATATAACAGTGGGGTTCATTTCGATATGATAACACATGCATGGAATATAATCTGTTTTATTTCAGTTCCCAGTATCTCCTCCTTCCTTGCTCTTTTACCCCGTCATCCCCCCTCCTCTAGTCTCCTGGCTTTCCCTCATCTATTTATTGGTTTTATAACTTGGTCCCTTACAGGAACACATAAACGTGAACTTCATGGTAAATCCACACATAGACACAGACAATTGGGCCAACTTCATTTCACTGTCATTCCCCTTTCCCACCCCTTCTCCTGCCCCCTCAACCCCCCTTCTCCATTCCTCTGATTTCCCTTCCATTTTCATGGTACCCCACCTTCCCACCTCCCCTATTTTGCTCTATCCCCCACATAGAGAGGAAACAGCCAACCCTTGACTTTCTGAGTCTGGCTTATTTCACTTAGCATGATGTTCTCCAGTTCCATTCCTTCACTGGAAAAATGCCATAATTTCAGTCTTCTTTATGGCTGAGTAAAACTCCTTTGGGTATAGATTCAGTTCTTTATCTAATCATCTGTTGATAGGAACCTAGGCTGGTTCCATAACCTGGATATAGTGAATCGTGCTGCTATAAATACATTGATGTGACTGTATCACAACAGTATGCTGATTTTATTTATTTATTTTAAAGTCTATATACTTAAAAAAATTTATAGTAGATGTACACATTACCTTTATTTTATTTTTATGTGGTGCAGAGGACCAAACTCAGTGCCTTATACATGCTAGGCAAGTGCTCTACCAACTGAGCTATAACCCCAGCCCTTGAATGCTGATTTTAGTTCTTGTGGATAAATACCAAGGAGTGGGATAGCTGAGTCATATGGGGCCATTCCTAGTTTTTGAGGAAACATCATACTGATTTTTAAAGGTTGTATTAATTTTGTCCCATCCAAAATGTATGATGTATGTTTTCCTTCACATCCTCATCAGCACTTATTATTATCTGTATTCTCCATGATTTCCATTCTAACTGGAGTGAAGTGAAATCACAATTCTCAAAAGAAGAAATACAAATGGACAAGAACTATATGAAAACAAGTTCAACATCTCTAGTAAATTATATTTTTTAAAAATAAAAACTTATTTGAGTTTTTGTTTCTGGCATATGGAAATATAGTTATTTTTGTATATTGACTTAATATATAGAGACCTTGCTAAGCACACATACTAATTCTGGTAGCTTTTTGTAGACTTCTTAGATCTTTCTTCATAGATCATCATACTCATCTGTCAATAAAAATGGTTATACCTCTTTTCCAATCTGTGTGCCTTTTGTATGTTTTTTTTTCTTG